TAACTCAATTCACGTGATTACTTATTAGGCCAAGAAAACCATTCGATCAATGAACAGTGATAAGTGTATCAGAAGAAAGACACGCATGTGAATATTCAGAAAGCCATCAAACTATACTGTGTGAGTATGAGTTATTTGTGTCTAGCGAAGGTAGTTGTAATTTTAACGTCAGCCGGACCTGCCGATTAGAGTGGAGAACTTTTGCCTGTCATTCCAGGGAGGACCTCAACTTGAATTACAAACAAGGCAAACCAGACGGTAAGCTACCCACGAATTTTTTCGCTCCTCAAATGCTACTTAAATTGGGATCGATGGTAGTTTATTCGATATCCATGCGAAAAAAAGAGTATCTTGTAAGACGTTCAGTCGGTTCATAAATTAAATGTCTTTACGAAGACCGCCATCGTTTTCACAGTCCTTGGAGTAACGCTTGCAAGTTAATTCTGCTTTCCCTAGTCACCAGTACGTTAAAAATTCAAACAGTCCGTTCAAGGTTTACTGAAATGAATCCAGCCCTACCCAACTTTCATTGTAAATATTGACAAATTTTACACCATATTCATTTGTGAGTAGCTGATGTTTGACCGGAACATCCAAAAATTCCCACCCGTATGAAAAATGCCCGAGTGGCGACATCATTTGGCAACGCCAGATATGTTGCCATAGCGTTGGGGTCTGAAAGCATAGATTTGTGTTCCGTGAGTAGAAATAAGATATATCATTCATCTAAGGACCCTGTTAGTGCAGACGTTATCCCTTTTCTACTGTGTAATAATGAAATGATATTGCCAAACAGAAGGCACTGGACAAATCATGTAAAAGCCCAACTTTGGTACGAAAATCAACTGAGTTCCACGGGTCTAAGGTGGGTCTAGCTTTGGGTGTCATATTCTGACAGCGGAAAGTGTACTCATTTTTACCCGATGCTTCCTGCGGTTCCTTAGTATTCTACAACCAAGGCCCATCGGCTTGGACGATTTACAGTATACACCCTCAACTGATAGTAAATGCGACAGAGAGGTAACTTTATTATTATGTAACCCTGTTGATATCGGTAGCCACTTCTACCCCTTGATGTATGGTTAACCACTAGTTATTTTCATGCAAAGGCATTCATAAGACATTCAGCCTGATACCAATAGCAACAATCCAACCAGTTCAGCTACGCCCTCAAAATCGACAATGAACTAATTTGTTCATTTGCTTCGATTCTATCAGCCTTTTTCCTACCTTACCTGTGAACCCTTGGCTCTATACTAGAACGCACATTATACCCGATTTATTGATAGCAAGTGAAAACGTCAATGGCCACGCGGCATCATCCGTATCACTCCACTGGATTTCAACCCTGGACAAACTAAGTAAACAAGAACACCTAAAGACTCATAAAAGACCAAGAACATGGGGGTTATTCTCAGAATAAGACTTAGGCTGTACATACTAGTATTCCCCGGAAAAAACAGCACATGACCACGAACAAGCACGCCAAAGCTGGTGGAGTATTCACAAGAGGTCCGAACAAATTTTTAATCAGGTATCTTGCAATGACTTCTCTTCAATGGAGCTCTGCTTTTACCTCTTGACGTTACTCAATATATACTTTCAAACAACAGTCCTTAAGTAGCCGCTTTAGTACATCGCTTCAACTCAAGTTCTTGGAGATACTGAATAAAATAGTATAGCTGGTAGTCTGCTCACTGAGCTAAGAACATTTCGTTTAATAAAACAGTATACAGGATATGTCAATGCCTGGTCCTCAAAAGTGCACTCTTACGGTTTACATCACAACGCCGGATGGGAGTACCACCTCCCTCTTAAGTTTGTATGCCGTTTAGAATCAGCACATACCGTGAGATCCTTTGCTCAAAAACCACACGACATCGTAAAATGACTGGTACACATGTCAGCCAAATTCAAATCCCTCGTTTGATCATATCGTACAACCAACCACAACTGCAAGCTGAAAAGTGTAATCAAGTAACATGACTGAAGAGATCATTGAAGCGTACAGAATGCTCTTCCTAACATTGTAGAAGTACATGTTGTTTGGTTTTTGA